AGACGGAGAACAGGAAGGTATGAGTGGAACCTCTCGCTGAGATGGAGACGGGCAGCGCGGATCCAACGGATCAAAACATCAGGGACTTCACCCTTGGTGCGCAAGGGGAAGACCGAGGTGTAGCGCGAGTAGTCGTCAACAACTATCAAGAAGTACCTCTCGTGACCCTGTCCACGGACGCGGGCTGGGCCCCACACGTCCATGTGGAGGGTCTGCAGGGGAGCAGTCGTCGGGGGAAACGAGGAGGAGTGAGGAGCGGCGCGCTGCCGCCCCTCGACACAGGGAAGACAGGGAGGAGCAGGCGAGGGTGGGAGGGGAGGGAGAACCCTGGGAAGACCAGAGACAAGGTACCGGGAGTGCATGCCACGAAGGCGCTGCACTGACGGGTGACCAAGGCGGTGGTGCCAGAGGACGGTCTGGTGCGACAGGGAGCGACACGAGCAGGGGGCCGACAGCTGACCTGACGCAGACGCAGACGCAGTTACCTGAGGGGACTCAGTGGTCAGTGTGTACAGGTCCGACCCCGGCTGCCGGGTGAAGGTAGCCAGGTGGCGACCCGTCCGAGCACACGTGCAGTGTTTCACGCGCTCGTAGGCAGGGGTAAACTGGTGGACACCCCCGTCCTGGAGCGCACTACCCGCCACCAAGTTCGTAGAGAACGAGTGGAGGAAGAGACGTGACAATGTGCCTGACGGGACCGCAGGACAAGGGAGAACAGTGGAGGAGGTCGCAATGACCGGACCCCCAGAGGGGTCAGCGAGGGAGACCGCAACCGGCCGAGCAAGCTGCTCAAGGACAGTGCGGTCACGAAAGAAACAGCGGGAAGCACCTGAGTCCAGTGTGAAGGTGTGCAGTGCCTCAGTAGACGCAGTACCAGAGGGCGCAGACTCACGGATACCTAGAGCAGTAGACTCACCTGCACCTGGGGCAACAGACACACTAGCACCTAGAGCGGAAGTCTCACCGGCACCTGGGGCAGTAGGCACACTAGCACCTAGTGCGGCAACCTCACTGGTCCTAATGCCCGGGTCGGGCGGGAGACGCAGGTAACAGTCACCCTCTCCACTAGTAGACAACACGTACATGGCACCAAGAATAGCATCAAACTCAAGAGCATAGACATCAATGTTTTTCTTGATCAAACCAGCGGGGCAGCTCAGTAGCAGCAGGAAACTGAGTGCGCCAGGCGTCGTCGAGGCGGGAGAAGCAGCGCTGCTGCGTGTGCGCCCTCCCACACGTCTGACCAGTGCAGTCACCTGTGCGGATGACGTACGGGCAACTAAGGCCACCCCCCCCATGCTGAGAGTACCACTCACGAAGCTCCTGGGGCGACAGAGTCTGCTGGTGGCGCTGGCCACCGCCAGAGCCTCCACGACCGCCACCGCCGCCGCCGCCACCTCGACCACCACCGCCACCACCGCCACTGCGTCCTCTGCCGCCACCACCACCGCCCCAACCCCGGCCACCTCCTCCACCACCGCCGCCACCACCCCCGCCGCTGCCGCCGCCACCCCCGCCGCTGTCACTGGCCCCTCCAGCCCCGCCACCACCCCCACCGCCGCCACCGCCCCCACCACCGCCTCCCCCGTCGTTACCACCGCCCCCCTTGCCCCCTTTGCCCTTGCCGCTGCGGCGCCCCCCACTCGCAGTGGACGCAGTCCCGACCTTCTCAGCACCAAGAAGGTCGACAGCAGCAGCAGAGGCGACAGAGGGGAGAAGAGGGGAGGGGGAACACCCCTCGAAGAAAGGGGTGCGAGGGTCACCACGAGAGGCACCGACAGCGACTATGCTAGTCTCAGCTGCCAGCAGTTGCTTCTCAAGCAGGTCAATGGTGAGCTGGGTAGGGCAGAGAGCAAGGAAGTGGTCCCTGACCGCACGAAGGGAGTCAGGGAGACGGGTGACCAGGTGGTAAAGAGTGAGCCACAGCGGGGGGGGGTTCTTGGCAAGAAACTCAGCGGGCATGGCAGCACGAAAGCGGATCTCACTAGTGCGGAGGTGAGTAATGAGGTCAGCGACTGTGGAGAAGGCGGACAGGTCTGGGAACAAGTAGGGTAGGGAGAGGCGGCCTAGCGTAGCAGAGGCAGGCGAGGAGTAGCGTGCAACTACAGCTTTGTACAGTGCCTGAGCAGTCTTGTGTTGGCCAAAGTGCTCGCGTTCATCTATCGGCAGGGAGTTGCGAATGGCGAAGCGAGAGTGGGCGTCACGAGTCTGCCACTGTGAGCGGGCAGTACTGTCAGCAGTCGCAGCAGGGGCAAGAGCTAGTCCTAACGCATGATCATAAAGTGAGATATTCTCCTTAGCAGTGAGTTGGAGGAACAGGTGGAGGTCATCGAGCCAGGTGTCAAAACGCAGTGGGCGGCCCTCAGCATCGAAAGCTAGAACCGAAGGACTAGCCATAGTTTCAGTAGGAGCAGTAGGAACAGTAGTAACAGTTGCAGCAGTAGCAGCAGTGAAACGGCACAGCGCAGCTCGGGCAGGGCAGCGCGGCGCGGCTCGGGCAGGGCGGCGCTGCGCGGCTCGGGCAGGGCGGCGCGGCGCGGCTCGGGCAGGGCGGCGCGGCGGCTTGCGCGTGTGGTTGCGCGGGCGGCTGCGCGTGCGGCTGTGCGTGCGGCTGCTTGTGCGGCTGCGCGTGCGGTCGTGCGTGCGGCCTAGTGGGCGGCCGTGCGTGCGGCCGTGCGTGCGGCCGTGCGGGCGGCTGCGCGTGCGGCTACGTGGGCGGCTGCGCGTGCGGTCGTGCGTGCAGCTGCGCGTGCGGCGGATTGGGCGGCTGCGCGTGCGGCTGACGGGCGGCGCGTGCGGCTGTCCTAGGGGCGCACGACGGCGCTAGGAAGAGGGGCGCTCGACGGCGCTAGGAGGAGGGGCGCACGACGGCGCTAGTAGGAGGGGCGCTCGACGGCGCTAGTAGGAGAGACGCGCAAGGGCGCGGCGGAACGGTGGGCCCTAACCAACGTCGGTCCTAGGTCCTAACCTAGTCGTCGGATACCATGTTAGAATGTAGAACTGAACGAGAATGAATGAACTAGGCATCAGGGTGATACAAGTAGGAAACCCTAGCAAAGTTGTACCCCCTAAGGCTAAACCCACTATAGCCTACACAATATAAACATGTATAATGTTTGACAATGTTGACCGACGTACAACGACACGTGGCATCGTGTCCCACTTGCCAGCTCATGAAATCATCACGGCAGCGGCCGACAGGACAGTTGCAGCTGATACCACCCCCAGAGCGTGCTTGGCAGCAGGTGACGATGGACTTCGTCACGGGGTTACCGGCCGGGGCAAGTGGGAACGACGCGATCCTGGTCGTCGTCGATCGACTGACGAAAGTGGCACATTTCGCAGCCTGCAAAAAATCGATCACAGCCGAAGAAACAGCTCGACTCTTCATCTCCACCGTCGTTCGACTGCACGGGATACCATCAGCGATCATCAGCGACCGCGACACAAAATTCACCAGCAACTTGTGGCAGCAGTTCGGCACGCGACTACAGTTCAGTTCTTCGTACCACCCCGAAACCGACGGACAGACAGAACGGACAAACCAGACTATGAAGCAACTCATCCAAGCCACGTGCGACGACCCAACCACCTGGGAACAACAGCTGCCACTCATTGAATTCGCATACAACAACTCACCGTCCGCCACGACCCAACATTCACCATTTTACCTGAACTACGGACAAGACCCGACAGTACCCATGACCCCGAATCCCGACAACCCAGTGCCACGAGCACAACAGTTCGCCGAAATATTACAAGCAGCACGGACCCGGGCAGCAGACGCAATAAAAAATCGAACATCATCGCTAAACGCAACGCCGACCGCCGCCGCCGACCTGTCACTTACCAACCTGACGACCTAGTTTTACTCGACACTCAGAACCTCCGACTGCTCATCACCCCAAAACTCCGCCCCCGATTCTGCGGGCCATTTCGCGTAAGCCACATGATTACGCCCGTCACCGCATACCTCCTCCTCCCCGCTGACTGGTACGTCAGCCCCTCATTCCACGTCAGCCTGCTTCGCCCTTACGTCCCGTCCACGAGCCAACTGCCACGTAATCGCCCAGCCAGCATGACACGACCGCCGACTGAACCAATCATCACCCCCGAGAAAATTCTGAGCCACAGAGTTCGTGACCCTCGAGGAGCCCGAAGGATCGAGTTCCTGATCCGCTGGAAAGACCGTACACCCACCGAAGACAACTGGGTTCCCCTGGACAGAATCGAAAACCACCCCGTCCTCACCGAGTATCTGCACAGCCGAAACTTCAGGGATGTACACGCGCTTTCGTAAAGAGGACCTCCTTAGGGGGGGGGGGTAGTGTAAGGAAAATTCCTTTTCCTTCGCGTCCCCGTTCAGCGCGTACACCACTGTAGCACCACAATCAGCACCGCTAGCACTCGCAACCCTCGCATCGACAATCCTCCCGCCACCTTCGCACGTCGCACCCCGACCTCACGGCTCGGCGGGTAACCCGCGCTCCGGGCCTCCGCTTCGACATTTTCCCCAACCTCAGTCCCAGGCCCGTCGCGCGGCAACCACAGTCCATTGCCGTTACCACTGTAATTTCGCTATATATTCTTCGCTCATGCCTTCGCTCATTGTACTCTTGCTTCGATAGTGCAATCCTTGCTCGCTCACTCAATTGCACTCGTAACACTATCTATTAGCCTTTCCTCGGTTGTTAACTTGATTAAGTATCTTTTTATCCATCCATCCGTCTGCGCCATAATCACAAATATATTACATTCAAGTCCATGTTTCAAGAAGTTCACGTCTGGTTCTTCTATTCAGCTAGTTCTTCTATTCACCTGTTGCTCGCTCGCAGGCTTGCTGCTGCGACTGCCATTGTGGCATTGCTGCTAGTAATGTTTGCAGTTGCCGATCCCTCTTCACCACCGGCCTTCAATTTGTACTTGGCCAAATACTACCGCACGCACTCCTTCACTCTGCTGCAGCCTCTACCATTGCTCCTTATTGCTGCCCCCCCTGCTCATTCTCCTAGTCCCACAGCTACTTCTGCCATTCTTGCTTGTGCTGCTCCATTCCCATTCGCTGCCGCTTCTGCCCCAATGACCACTGCATCCCTACACACCATAGCATCCGAACTCTTACGCTCCCCCTGTTTGCCATTGCTGCTGCTAAGTTCGGTGATCGTCCGAACCTGCACCATCGAGTTGAAGGATACCCGCCGCTTGTGCCCAGGCTCGGCAATAGGTCCGGGGCAAGCCTTGGGAACAGGCTGCGAGGCAGCCCGTACCATGCTGTGCTGGAGGCCCGGGAGTGGCTCGGAAACAACTCGGAAGGTGGGATTTGAGGAAGACTTGGGGAAACTGGGACCAGGAGAGGTGTGGAGAGCGGTGGAGATGGTTCCATGTGGATGGGTTTCAGACAAGTGAGAGTCATTCGGGAATGCAGCAGGTTTGGAGGGAAGGGAGGGAAGAGAGGGAAGGGAGGGAAGGGAAGAAGGTGAGGCGAGGGTCTGACGGGCATTGAAGCTGCTATGTGGCTTCAACCGGAGCGACTGCTGCGGCTGCTGCTGCTGCTGGCGCTCCCACTCCTTCCAATACGCCTTCTCCGTTGCCTCCTTTCCCCCTTTCACACCCTCCCCTGCCCCTTTGCCCCCTCTCACCCTATCCCCTGTCCTCTTGCCTCCTCTCACCCTCTCCCCGTCATCTCCCTCCCCCTCTAGCTCCAGAAGGCTGGGCAGGCGGGGGCTGTTCACCTCTGCCCATGGCTCAAGACAAACCCGATGCTGTTTATGATTACTGGATTGGTACTGTTCATGAGGGCTCTGGTACTGTTCATCATGCTCCCACTGCTTTGCGGAACGGGCAACAGCCGACCGCACTCGAGGCGAGGCGAGGGCTCTCACAACCAGGCTGTTACGAATGCTGCTGATGTTGCTGCTGGTAGCATTGCTGCCTGTAGAATTGCTGGTGCTAACATTGCTGGTAGCATTGCTGGCAACAGAAGCAGAGCGCACTCGGGGCGAGGCCAGGGCTCTCACAACCAGGCTGTTGCGAACGCCGGCAACATCAAGGGTGCCGGTGACATCGATTCGCCTGCTGCTGCTGGTAGCATTGCGGCTGGTAGCATTAATGCTGGTAGTCGCATTGCTGGTGCTAACACTGCTGGCAGAATCGCTGGTATTTGAGGCAGAGCGCAGTCGAGGCGAGGCAAGGGCTCTCACAACCAGGCTGTTGTCAACGCCAGTAACATCAAGGGTGCCGGTGGTAACCGCAATTCGCCTGCTGCTGCTGCTGGTAGCCTTGCTGGTGGTAGCAGAATCAGTGGCAGGCACATGCACTGCAGGAGAAGCAGCAGAAGCAGCAGAAGTGGTTGGAACAGAAGCAGGTGTGTACAGTGCAGCAGGCGCAGCATACAGGTCACCAAACCGGTAGGCATCCAAACCATCCGAAACCCTGTGCACCGCACCCGAGTCATCCGAAACCCTCTGCGCCGCACCCAGAGATGCCACTTTCCGGAGAACCCGGGGGCGGGGTTGCAGGGATGGAGAGGGGTCATCCCCAGGCAGACGGGTGGACGGAAGAGCAGTGGCAAGGGGAGCAGCCGGGCGAAGGAAAGGGGGAGCCGATTTTTGAGTCGAATCCAAAGGGTGCCGGGATGGAGAGGGGTCATCCCCTGGTAGACAGGTGGATGGAGGTGCAGCGGCAAGGGGAGCAGGCCGGTCAGCAGGGGAAGCAGTGGCAAGGGGAGCAGGCCGGGAGGCACGGGGAGCAGGGCGAAGAGCGGGGGGAGTAGCATTGGGAGTGCTGGGCAGTAGAGTTTGTTTGGCCATGCGGGGAGCAGAGTCTTGGGGACCGGGAGTGTAGCCATGCGGAGATGATGCATTAGGGGGGAAACTGGGAGGAGAAGGGAGAGGAGCAGGGGAAGGAACAAAGGAAGGAGCAGGGGGAGGAGCAGGGGGAGGAGCAGGGGGAGGAGCAGGGGGAGGAGCGTTGGGAGTAGACGTGGAAGCATCGGCCATAGGCTGTTTGAGTTTGACTGTTGCGCCATCAATCCCTATAACACCCGCTCTCTCTCCCCATTCCTCTCCTGACCACTCTCCCTTCAACCGCTCTTCCTCCTCCTCCCATTCTCCCTCCTCTTCCCACTCTCCCTTCAACCACTCTTCCTCGTCTTCCCACTCTCCTTCCTCTTCCCACTCTCCCTTCAAGCACTCCTCCTCCTCTTCCCACTCTCCCTTCAACCACTCTCCCTCTTCCCCCATAACTAAATCATAGCAGGTGCCTTCGCTTCCACTGTTCAGGTCTGTAAGAGATGCCCTTCTGACACATGCACCTACTTCCCCTCTCCCCTCTTTCTCCCTGCACCATTGTCTCCCTCTCACCACATCCGCTGTATGGGAACGTCGAAGGCCCCGCTCCTGCCCCCCTTCCCTCATTCCTCCCCTCCCTCCCCTCGTTTCTCCCTCTCCCCTCCCTCCCCTCCCTCCTCTCCCTCCCCTCCCTCCTCTCCCTCCTCTCCCTCCCCTCCCAACTCCTTCCCTCCTTCCTTCCCTACCCTCACCTCCTCCCCTCCCGTCGCCTCTCCATCTCCCCACAATTCTGCCCCTGCCCCCATCACTTCGCCTCCCCATTCCCCTTCCTCCGGAATCCTCCTCCCGTAGTCTACGCCCATTCCCTCCCTCTCTTCCCTCCATCCCTTGCTGTTCCATCCTCTCCTCTCTACTCCCACTCATTCCCTCACCCCGTCCCCCCCTTCCCTCTTCCCTTCTCGGACTTCCCCCCTCCCCTCTTTCCTCTTGCCTGCGCCCACTTCCCCCCTCTTCTCTCCCCTCCCCCCCTCTACCACCTCCCCTTTCCACAGGCATGCTCAAAGCACGGGCCATTCGCCTCCTCTCACACCAACCACCCCTCCCTCCTCTCCCTCTACCCCCCTCCACTTCCCTCTCTCCTCCTCTCCCTCTACCCCCCTCCACTTCCCTCTCTCCTCCTCTCCCTCTACCATCTCCTCTTCCTCCTCTCCCCCTTCCATATCCTCCCCCACTTCCCCCCATTCTCTCCGCCTCCTCTCCCCTCCCTCGTCCACACCTTTTCATCCCAGTATCAACCGTCCTCCTCTCCACCACCCCAGCAGTAGCAGGCCTTGCACTTTTAACTGTCACTCTTAAGCTCTCCGCTCGTCCAAGCTGATTTGCCCTGCTCTTATTTCCAGCAGTAGCAGAACCAGGCCTTTCACCTCTAAGCATCACTCTTAAGCTCTCCGCTCGAGCGAGCACCTGCGCTCTACTCACACCCGAGGGGGGGCCCAATTTAGCCAATCCCTGCCCTCCCTGGTTCCGCATTTCAACCTCACCACAACTACTCCTCCTCTGCAGCCTCCTGCTTCCTCGCCTCTCTCCCAACCCTTCACTCTCTCCCATCCCTACCTTACTCATTCCCTGTTCTCCCACATTCCGCGCGCCCCCACTCCTCATTTCAACCTCCCCACAGCTACCCCTCCTCTGTAACCTTCTGCCACTCCCCCGCCTTTCCGCTAACCCTTCACTTCCTTCCCGCACCTCAATCTCTTCACAACTGCCCCTACTCTGAAACCTCCTGCCACTCCCTCGCCTTTCGTCTAACCCCTCCCTTCCTTCCCTCCGCATTTCTGCCTCCCCACAGCTACCCCTCCTCTGTAACCTTCTGCCACTCCCCCGCCTTTCCGCTAACCCTTCACTTCCTTCCCGCACCTCAATCTCTTCACAACTGCCCCTACTCTGAAACCTCCTGCCACTCCCTCGCCTTTCGTCTAACCCCTCCCTTCCTTCCCTCCGCATTTCTGCCTCCCCACAGCTACCCCTCCTCTGTAACCTCCTGCTCCCTCGCTCCTCTCCCCTCGCTTCCCTCTCTCCCTGATCCCCCCCCCCTCCTGCAATGCTGCCTCCAGGCACATCAAAGGTCACCTTTCCATTCCTCTCAAGCACAGATTGCACCCGCCTGTGCTGCTGCCCTGTCGTGTTGGCTCTTCTCAACATTTGAGGCGCCTCAAAAGTGCTGCTTTCAGGCAACTCGCTGTTAGTCACCTTTCCATTCCTCTCAAGCACAGATTGCACCCGCCTGTGCTGCTGCCCTGTCGTGTCTTGAGACGTCTCAAAACTAGACTGCACGCGTCTCTGATCCCCTGTTGTGTTTGCCCCTTCCGCTGACCCCTGAACCCCCTCCCTTCTCCCATTCCTCTCAAGCACAGATTGCACCCGCCTGTGCTGCCCTGTCGTGTTTGCTCTTCTCAACACCCGGCCTTCACCATTACTCCTCCATTCTGCTCCTTCCCCTTCAATGCCCCCCCTCTCGTCATCGCTCCCTCCCCCTTCACACTCCCCCCATTCGCTCCTCTCCCTCCTCCCCATAGTCCTCGCCCCTCTAGCGACCTTACTGAGCCACACACTCCCTTCCTCCTCCCCCTCCTCCCTCCTCCTCCCCATAATCCCCCTCCTCAACCCACGCAGCCACCCACCCCTCCCATCAGTGCAACTCATCTCACTGCCGCCCATCTCACTGCCGCCCATCTCACTGCCGCCCATCTCACTGCCGCCCATCTCACTGCCGCCCGACTCACTTCCAGCCAAATTACTTCCACCCAAGCTGCTGCCGCCCAAATCACGACAGCCAACAGCCACGTCTGCAAGACCACTGCCCCCCTCTGATGCTTCGTCTTCCTCTACCTTCCCCCATTTTCCTTCCTCCTGGTCGGACGTCCTCCCTCTTTCCTTCTCCTCACCCCCCACACTTACACCTTCTGCATCTCCTGTCCTCTCCACCTTCCTCCCCACTTCCTCCTCCCTCGCCTCCCTCCTCCCCTCATCCCTCCTCTCCTCCACTCTCCTCTCCTCTCTCCCCCCTCCTTTCACCTCTCTCCCACCCTCTCTCCCACCCTCTCTCCCGACCTCCTCCCCACCCTCCTCCTCCACACTATGCGTCCTCACAGGCCCCCCACCGAGCCCACACACGCGCAGCATACCCAGGGAAGCAAGAATACGGGGCGAGATCAACGAATCACTCCTGGCCCGAAACCTCATCCCTCTCTTCCTCCCCTCTCCCTCCTGCCCGCGGCTCTTCCTGTCCCATCCATGGGAAGAAAGCACGCGAGGAGACAGAAAGTCGTCCCTCTTGTTCTTCTGACCGCTGCTCTTGTGACCGCTGCTCTTCTCGTCGCAACCAGGTGTGGCACGGACACGAGGAGAGAGAAAGCTACTAGACATCCACTCATGCTCCTCATCTATCGAAAAGTCTTCACTTCTCCTCTTCTCATCCTGCCCTGCACTCGAGAATTCGCTTCTGCTTCTTTCATGCCTGCTCCCTCTCCTGCTGCTTCCGGTGAGGCTTCCAAACCTGCCGTGCCCGAACCTGTTGCTACCGAACCTGCTGCTGCTGCTGCCGAAGCTGATGCCGCTGCTGCTGCCAGGGCTGCTGCTGGCGCCGTGGCTATTGGGTAGGTGGAAACAAGCAGTAGCAGCAGCAGCAGCAGCAGCAACACCACCACCACCATCGTTACTTTCAGCATCAGGTAAATCAGCATATGAAGTATAACCAACAGAGACAGTACGTGCATTCGCGTCCTCCCCATTTTTTTCACCACTAGGCTCCTCCTCTTCTCCAATCCCCACTTCCCCCCCTTCCTCCTCCTCCTCCTCCTCCTCCTCCTCCTCCTCCTCCTCCTCCTCCTCCTCCTCCTCCTCCTCCTCCTCCTCCTCCTCCTCCTCCTCCTCCTCTGCTGCTTCCTCCACTCTCTTCGCCCCTGCTTCTCCTGTCCCCTCTTTCTCCCGTTGCCACTGCTCCCCCTTTTCATCCTCCTCCCAATCATAAGCCCCACCACCATCAGCAACATAACCATACTGGTTACAAACGCGGTTACCAGCACCATATTGACCAGGTGTCTGCAGCATGGGGGGATTAGGCGCCTCAGGTGATTCAGGTGCTTCAGGTGATTCAGGTGATTCAGGTGCTTCAGGTGCTTCAGGTAACATTCGTGGTGTTGCATGTGAGTCAGGTGAAATCAGGCAAGAGGGAGAGCATTCAGATGGGTCAACCAGGTGGGGCTGTTTTTGAATCGACTCAAAAAGAGAGGCAGAGCATTCAGATGGGTCAACCAGGTGGGGTCTGGGGGAGGGCGATGTGGTTGGGTGTGGGGAGCATGGCATTTGAAGCAGCTGAGGCATTTCAAGGTTTGCACCAACCAGGTGGGGTCTGGGGGAGGGGGATGTGGTTGGGTGTGAGAGGCCTAACACTTGTGGCTGTTTAGGATGGTAGCGGTGGGAAGGGCATGGTACTGAGGTAATCTGAACCACCATGCTAAGTCCATCATCCCACCCCTCACATTCCTCCTCTTCTTCCTCCTCTTCCTCCTCCTCCTCCTCCTCCTCCTCCTCCTCCTCCTCCTCCTCCTCCTCCTCCTCCTCCTCCTCCTCCTCCTCCTCCTCCTCTTCCTCCTCCCCCCTCTCTCCTCTTTCCCCCTCCCCTTCTTCCTCCTCTTCCCCTCCCCACTGTCTGTGTGCCACGTCACACCCTGGGACGTCGTGCTGACGTGGCGAGAGCTGACGTGGCAGCAGCTCGTTCTGCCACTGGAAGCTTTGCTTCTGGCAGGGGCGGAAGGGGGAATCGCGCGCAGGGAGGGGGGACTCCAAAACGCGGAGGGGAGAGTCGGGGGGAAGGGGGGAGCGCGGGGTGAGGGCAGAGGGATTGAGAGGTGGATGGGTAAGGGAGTGGTGAGTGAGGGAGTGGGGAGTGAGGGAGTGGGGAGTGAGTGGGAGTGGGTAATCCTGCGATGGCAGTAGGCTGAGGTCTAGAGTGCATGGCTCCTTCACATACCGCTCCTCCCCCTCCTCCCCCTCCTTCCCCTCCTTCCGTTCCCTCTCCTCCCTCCCCTCCTTCCCCTCCTGCTCCTCCTGCTCTCTGCACACCAAATCCGCGTTGCAAGATTCCTCCATACAACCACCTGTCCCTGCGCTACACTTTATGTCACCCTCACCCTTCCCCTTGGCCTCTTCCTCCTCCCCTTTCCTCCTCCCTTTCTTCTTCCTCCTCCCCTCCTTCACCACACTCACTCTACACTCATCTGGAGTCACATCCACCCACTCACTCACAAATACCTCTGCACCCCTTTCTCGATTTAAGCACCCTCGATTTAGCAACATCCCCTCCTCCCCAACACTCCCAGCCCTCCGCATTTTCCCGAGCCTCCACTGAAACTTCAACCCGCTGCCTCGGCCGAAGCTGCCGTTCCCGAGCCTACTGCTCCCCCCAGTACCGATCCTCGAGAGGCTGTCGCTACCGAACCTAGGCACGCCATGCCTGCCGAGCCTGGCAAAGCTGCTGCTGCCGAGCTTGAAAATGCCACTGTTACCATCGCCACGCCCCCCCTCTACCTCATAATTGCTCCAATCGTTTCCACTATTCATAAAAAGGTTATTATGACTGTCATAATCAATAACGACACCATTATTGCAGGGGCTCCTATGGCCGGGTGCAGAACTAGGCCGAACCAACAACTGCTGCTGCTGCTGCTGGTTCGGAATCATTTCAGAAAGCCTGTCGGCTGTCATGCTGCGAACGTCATCCGACGTCTGCCGCCCGCCTTCCCGCCGCCCGCTTTCCTGCTGCCGCCCACTCTTCTGCCGGCCGGCGATTGCACGTCCGGCACTCTGCATGAGCCGTGCTGCTGCTCGTTCCTTCCTGGTGACCTTACCAGAAGCACCACCACCAGCAACAGCAGAAGCAACAGCGGCAGCAGCAGCAGCGGCGGCGGTGGCAGCACGGGTTATGGACTGGTCACCATGGCGATTCCCAAGGGAGTCGTTTTGACAAGCTTCAATCCACGCCAGATCCATACCGTCCACGGCCCGATCTGCACCGGCCGCCGCACGATCCGCACCGTCCGCTGCTGCACGATCCATATCATCTGCCGACGGCTCACACACCCACAGCCCAGAGCCACCACCATCGCCTGTGCCTCGACTCAACTGCTCCCAACCTTTGCTCTGAGTTAAATCCACCATCGCATGCGATGAGCGATCTCTTACCCCTCCTCCCCCGTTTTCCATTCGTCCTCCAATCCTGAATTCCCCTGCTTTATCATCTGCTGACGGCGCCCTCGTAGCCGCTTTATCTGCCGCCTCCCCCTCTTCTCCCTGTTTCAGTCCCCTTATCCCGGTTTTCTTTCTAGCGCTTTCTCCCTTCCCCGCTTCTTCCGCCGCATCTGGCGCCGTAAAAGGCGGCTGCGCGTCGCCGCTTCTCAACTGCGACTGTCGGAATGCGCTCTTCGCGTTCCTGCTTGGATGCGCGCGCACCTGCGCGGGCCGCCACGTGGCACCTGTCGATTGGCTCGTGCTGCTGCCCGGGAAAACGCCCGCCTGACTGTGACTGCCGCCGGGGGAAGGCGCGTCTGGGGAAGCGGGAAACTGCGCGCGCGCGGAGGAAAAATCGGGGGAGTGCGCAGTGGCGGAAGGCGCGCTGACGGAAGGTTGCGCGCTGGGGGAGAGCTTCTCGGGGGAGGCGGGGGATGGTGCGGGGCGAGGGGAAAAAACGCGGGGAAAGGGGGGACGGGGGGAAGGTCGTGGGCCGGGGCTATTTGGGTGCGTATCGGCGGCGGGCGGACCAAAAGCGGAAGGTTTTACGAGCGCGGGCGTGGCGGGGGAGCGCAATGGCGGAGCGGTGGGCTGCGGGAAGCGCTCAAAAACCTCCGCGGGAGCTTCCGCGGGGTCCGACAGGGAAGGCTGGGCGGCTTGCGGAGGCGCAAGAGGGGACCGACGGGGGGCGGAACGGCGGCGGGACGACGGGGAACGGGGACTCAGGGGAAGGTCGATGTGCAAAGCGGCGGCTGGCGCGCGGATTGAGGGATGCTGTGCTTGCGAAGTCATTTGCGACGACATTCGCGATGTCATTCGCGAAAACCTATGCGACAAAGAGACCAGAAATTGCCGCGGGGTGAGTGCGGGAAGGGGACTGAGCGCGAGGAATGCGCGGAAACGGGGGGAGCCCGCGGAATGGGTGTAGCGCGCGGAACGGAAGGGAGCGAGCGGATTGGGGGGAGCGAGCCGCGGAGCAGTGCGGGGGAAGAGCGGAGGGTGTGTGCGGAGTACGCCGTCTGCAGTTAACACCGAATTCGGCGACGCGCGGCGCGAGTTGCGCTTCTGCGCGACCCGTTCGACAATCCCCCGAGCCCTTTTCGAGAATTCAAACGGGAACTGCTCCGCCCGCTTGAAAATCCCCAGGGGAACGGGGACCCAGCAGCCGTGCGAAAGCCGCTAGAATCCCGCTCTTCATTCCCCACAAAATCGCTACCGCTCGCACAATGGCGCCACGAATTCAGGGCATCTAGCGCGAACGACGTCAGGAATTAACATTCTGACTGCATCAACCATCGGCGTCGCGGGCTCCTTTGCGGCTTCACGGGCTTGGCTACTTATATAATGCTCCTGAAAGAAAGACTATGCTGATCGGATTGAGAGTAAGGGGCGTTGAGTCGAAGATGCAGAATCTACCTCCGAGGTAACGATAAAACGTCGATGGACCTTTAGACGGACCTACAGTGCATCGCCACGTGGCAGCGGGGTTTGCTACATGGAGCCCGAGCAGATAGCCGTTGGCAAGGGCTCAGAGCTTTCAGAAACACCTCCCGTAAGAAGACATAAATCGTAGAAGACGCACAGGTAGCGTCTGCTGGTGTTAGACAGCTTGTACGTCCCCGTCGATTGTGGCGTGCAATCTCTCTGGGATTTGAGACTTGGTTCTCTTGTCGCGTCGAAAGAGCGCGTTCATTCGTGTGCGTAGCGACAAGTATTTATAGATTGTATACACAAACTTGTCTTTCACCGTTCGAGAAGGCGCTATTTTTGTGAAACACAGATAAACGCCGTCCCTTTTCGTTGGTAGATTCAGGAACGCGTCCTTCGGTTCCTCTTGTTCGATACAGCATTCGTGTCACGTGACTGACACCCATTTGCGAGCTGAAACATGACAGACAATTGCCGCGCCGTGCCGTCGTGCTGCTTTCCTTGGCTTGTCGTGCTCGTTGGGAGATGCATGAGTACGGTACGGTACGGAACTTCCCTTTCCGTTTCTGTAGGATACAGTGCCTCATTTGTCCAATTCCCTTAGCGGACCACTCCCTGTCAGCCTTCGCAAGACTGCTGAGTCAGCATGCTGTATCCCAGGCGACATTTTTTTAATCTCACAAGACGACAATCTAATTCTCAGGACTACCCCTTCATTACGCGAGCACACCCTAAATATTCACACTGATTATCCACATCCTCGTTTCAGAACTGAAACAACACTCACAAATGAAGCCGCACAAAGATTCGAGGTGACAGGATGTTGAGACTACATTTTGTTGAGTATGAAAATAAACATAAACATTTCCGTTCATACAGCCCAGGAAGGGATAACCATCAAGAACCATCAGCTGTAGACTCAATGGCCGCACCCCTCACGCCACCTACCCCTTTGTCAGAAGTCTTGAAAAAGTCATTGACTTTCACAAGAAGCATTTCTGTAGACTCGTTGACCTGCTTTGCAAACAGTTTGCATGAAAAGAGGGCACTGTGTATAGTAACTGTATTGCACGTCCAGCCATGTGGTCCCTAGGTCTGTACGCGTACTCGCTATAGAGAGGTCCGATTTAAAATTAAGTGTAGATTGTTTGTGGGGATCAGAATCCCAGTTACGAAATCTCTAATTGAAATTGATAATTGAAGAAATTGGCGAAGTGTCTCCTCGATCGCGCCCTACTGCTCCAAAAATAATCGCGATTAGCGTCTCGCAGGGCTCGCTTGAACAAGCTGCATCCATTGTAAAAAAATCTCGGGTGCTCAAATGCCAGTCATCCGCGATGCAAGCTGCCGCGACATTAGCGCTACCGGCCTCGCCCGTACATGGCTCCGCAATCTGCTGGTCGCACGAGAACCTGCTGGCTGCAGCGTTGGGCCCGCTTGTCGTTATAACGGTTCGCTATCTTAACTCCTCCCTCGTCGTTATTAGGCGCCGTGCTCGTAACTCCCCGCTCGTCGTTACCCGCCCCGTGTCCTCTTCTTCCCCCCGTGTCCTAACGTGGCCGCTCCTGCTCCTGCTCATCCTTCTCCTCCTGCTCGTCTCCTTGCTTTCCAGCCCCTCCGCTTCTCCTTCTCTTTGCTCAGCGGCTTTTGAGGCGCCTCAAAAGTCATGTCCTAACGTGGCTGCTCGTTCCTCCTGCTCCTCTCCTTGCTTTCCACGCTCTCCGCTTCTCCTTCTCTTCGCTCAGCGGCGTGAGCCATCACAGCCATCCTAGCGCGCTCGTGTTCTCAGCACCCTACATTGTCTCAGCGCCTTACAATATGTGAACACTGAACACCCACAATCCTAGCTGCGAAGTTTGTGGGTGTTCTCAGCATCCTATTGTCTCACCACGCTCGTTGTCTGCGCACCCTACATTACGCAATACCGCATCCTCTCAACACCGCGTATCTGCACCCCACAGCCTTCCATCACCCAGAAGCTAGAATCTGATCCCAACACCTAAACTTATGCTCGCATTGCCATTCCCATATGCCGCCGTCACCAATTCATCCTCGTTACAAGAATCCTCCACCAAACACCCAATCACTCTCTCCCCAAGCCTCTTTCACCTTCCAACTCCTCCTGTTCCCGACTGTCTTCCAGAACCCGGCCAATCTCAAAGGGCCACGTGGCTTCATCCTGTTGCAGCCGTCGGATTTTCTAGATGCCCAGATCAACGGCCACGTGGCTGACTCAGGTTAGCTGACTAACTACCAAACCCTCATCTAAGGAGTTACTAACCATGTCCTCCTCATCCTCTTATAACTGTTTTTCTGAGAGGATGACCCAGCTGTAGCCCAGCTGCCCCCGGACCTCCCTGCGTTCATATCTCCAAGGTGACTTTTGAGTCGACTCAAATGTCACCCAGCTGTAACCCAGCTGCCTCCGGACCTCCCTGCGTTCATATCTCCAAGGTGACTTTTGAGTCGACTCAAGTGTCACCCAGCTGTAACCCAGCTGCCTCCGGACCTCCCTGCGTTCATATCTCCTGCCTTTCCCGGCTGACCTCCCATCCGCCCTCCCTTGCCAGATCTACCTGCCCTGGTTCTCACCTCCCTGCGTTCATATCTTCTGCTTTCCGTGTCTGTCCTTTTCTACCAGATCTACCTGCCCCAGTCCTCACCTCCCTGCGCCTGCATGCCGACTCTGCTCTCTCCGTTCGCTCCCTCGCCTGGTCCCCGCTGCTCCCCCACTCCATCCTGCAACGCGGGTACGACCCTGGCAGTTGACTGGCTTTCACTGCTCTTCGCTGCTGTTGAGTTGACTGCTGCTGTTGACCTAGGTTGACTTGTATCCATTTTGTTGCCTTATACTGGCTAAGTATCCCATTTCTCTTGCAAAATTTCCTTGCTGGGATTGGCCCTTTTCATAGGTTGGTTGGTTGGCCACACATCGTTTGTCTTTTACACCCCTCCCTCCCCACTCCCCTCGACCCCCCCCCACACACACCACTCCCTACACCAATCACCAGCTGCCAGCTGGCAGTGTGCTCCACAGATGGCCGGCTGAGAGTGTTCAGAGCGCCCGTGCAGGAGGCAGGCTCCAAGTGGATCCAGGTGAGTCTCCAGGTGACCTTTCAGGTCAATTTCCAGGTGACCTTTCAGGTGAGTTTCCAGGTGAGCTTTCAGGTGAATTTTCAGGTGAGCTGAAAGGTGAGTATAAGGTAAGTTACGAAGTAACTTCCCAGGTGAATTCCCAGGTGAAGTTTCAAGAGCGCTTCAGGTGGATCCAGGTGAGGAGGGCTTCCACGTGAAAATCATCAGGTGCCAATCCAGGTGAAGTTCAGGTGAAACTGTGTAGTCGCCTGCGCTTTGAAACAGGCCAGCTTTTCAGGTGCCTCATAGGTGACCTGACCTGGATGTCTTACGTGATTGAAGTCATTGCCTTTTCCCCCCTCACTGTCTGCCGGTTTGAGACATCTCAGATTCTTCTTAAAAGACACTTTCCTTGCTTGGGCCTATGAGCAGAGTGCATAGGTGACATATGTCAAAGCCTTTCCTCCCTCACTGTCTGCCCTTTTCACTCACTCCCATTCGCCGGCCCTTGTGCGCACAGGTGGCGGATCTCTCTGCGACCCTTACTGCTCATTTGAGAGACACGTGGCAGAGCCAGACACGTGGCAACAATGAGAAGGTGACACGTGGCAGTGATGAGAAGGTGACACGTGGCAGTGATGAGAAGGTGACACGTGGCAGCGATGGGAGACTGCCACGTAGCAGGGATGAGAAGGAGACACGTGGAACACAGGTGGATAAGAGAAATGAGAGGGACAGCAACATTGCACGTGGAGCAGGTGGAAAAAGGACACGTGGCAGCAATCAGAGCGAGCAGAGAAGTTTAGGTGAGGAGGAGGCGGTGGGGAGAACAGGGAGGAAGAGGAGAAGGGCGGAGAGGTATGGGGAGTGTGCGGAGGGGGGAGACAAAGGGGGGGGAGAAGAGGGAGGGGGGAAAGAGAGTGAAAGCAGTGAGGAGGAGGACGCTGAGGAGGGGGACGAGTGGGAGGGAGATGCAGAGGGGGAGGAGGAGGAGGAAGAGGAAGGTTCTGATGAGGAGGAGGGTTGGGAAGAGGAGGAAGATGAGAGGGAGGTAGGTAAAAAGTATGGAAAAGGTGCAGCAGCAGCAAGAGCAGGAGTGGCTGCAAAGAGGACAAAATCTGCCGGACGGGTTGATCTTAGTCCAGAGGAACCCGGCGAGTCGCATTGCATCACGCCGACCCAGTTTGCCGCCCGGCACAAGCGGCTGTTCGCCACGTGTGCAGCGTGGTCCCCACTGGTGACGCTGACGTGGCAGGTGAACCAACAACGCACCAATCAAGAGGAGGGAGAGAAACGGGAGGGAAAGCAAGGGGAGGCAAGACGAGGGGAGGCAAAGCAGGGGGAGGGAAGACAAGGAGACGGGAGCGAAGGGCATGGAATCCCTGTTAGCTTCTCGTGCCTAGTATCGGGGTCCCAGTCACCCCACATATCCCGTGTTGAGACCCAGACATCTCAATTCTCGTGCCTGGCGTCTGGGTCCCAGTCAGGCCACATATCCCAGGGGCAAGGAGAGAAAGGGGAGGGAAAGGAAGTTGAGGGAAGAGGAGGGGAGGGAAAGCAAGGGGATGGGAAGCAGGAGCATGGAATTTCAGTCTCCTTCTCGTGCCTGGCGTCTGGGTCCCAGTCAGGCCACATATCCCGTGTTGGGAAGCAAGGGCATGGGATCCCTGTCACCTTCTCATGCCTGGCGTCTGGGTCCCAGTCAGGCCACATATCCCTGTGGCTCCTCCACTCCTCCTCCCATTCCCTCCCTCTCACGCTCCCTCTTCCTCCTCCTCCTCCGTCTGCCTCCCATCTCAACGGTTCCTGGGCTCTTGCGGTCGCTGCGGGCGCATCCTGGCCGTTGGATCACCGCGCTGACATGGCTGGATGACGACGTGGCGTGTGGGTGTGATGACGTGGTACACAAGAAGATGGAAACGGGAAACAAGGGAAGAAATAACATCAGTAGCAGCAGCAACAGAAGTAGCAGCAACAGCGGCTGGAGCAGTGATGGTAGTGTGAGGCTGCTTCTTGTCTCGGGCGCTTCGGATGGGAGGTACGCAGTGGGTGGTTGTGTGGAGGTGGGGAGGGGGATGGCAGATGCACATGCAGCAGCAGCGGTGGTAGCAGTGATAGTAGTGTGAGGCTGCTTCTTGTGTCTGGCGCTTCGGATGGGAGGTAAGTGTGCGAATTATGGTTTTTCCCTCCTTTCACCTTGGTTCTTAACTCGTTAAAATCACGTCCACTACATTCCCTTCCTTTGAGCCCTCCCCTCGTGCCTCCCCCCTCTTCCCCCCCCAAGAGAGTCATCATCAAAATTCCTTTTGATAAAAGTGAATTTTTGAGACGTCTCACCCCCCCCCCCCCCCTCCTCAAGAGAGTCATGATCTATCTTTTTTGAGACGTCCCAAACCCCACCCCCCCCCCTCCCCCAAGAGAGTCATCATCATAATCTTTTTGAGCCGTCTCAACCCCCCCATCATCTTAATATTTTTGAGACGTCTCAACCCCCCCCCCCCCCCCCCAAGAGAGTCATCATCTTAATATTTTTGAGACGTCTCAAAGATTCTCTCTTCCCTCCCCACTCTTCCCCTCCAAGAGAGTCATAATCTGAATCCCTTCTTTCCAGTGTGACTGTATGGCAGGTGACCTTCTCTCTCCCCTCGCTACAGTCACACCCAAGGACAACAGCAACAACAGCCAGTCTCCATCCCTCACATGGCCCTGCACACGTATCTGCACTGCGCGCCAAGATAACACCCCTCTCCAAGGCACGTGTGCCTGAAACCTTGTGACACTTGTGGTTAGTGATTCCTCGTTCCTGTATCCTGATTACTTTTGGGTCGACTCAGGTCTATCACGTGCCTCTTTATGACTCTTTCTTTAGGAGCTGAATCTTGCTGTCAGTCACACACACCTGCTTTGGAGCCTCTATATCTGCAGAACGCAGGTACCAAAGGCTTTTGAGAAGCTGGTTCTCAAAAGTTATCTGCAGAACAGCACACTAGTACCAAAGGAAAGCGTGCTATATCGCGTGCTTTGGTACATACATAGCACAGCACGCGCACCTTTTCTCATCAACTACATTTCTTCCCCCATTCCACATTTTTCCCGCTTCACCATTCTTCCTCTCTTCACTAATACCGCCTCACTACCTCCCCCCCCCTCTTTCCCTCCCAGCCAATACTCTCACTTTGTCTTTGCCCTTTCTTGTTTGCCATGCGATTCTCTCTTCCCTGTTTCTGCTCCCCCTCCCCTCCCTATCAGCCTGCCTCGCCCCACAACCCACCATCACCAGCCTGTCCGTTGCTCTTCTGTTAAGTTGACTCAGAGCCACCCCATCTACCGTGTCTCTTCCTCTCCCCTCCCCCATCCCCACCCTATCAGCTCGCCACTCCCAACGGCTCACCAGTCACGAGCCTGTCGGTCGCTCTTCCCCCTCGCTCCATCCCAGCAGGTGTCTCAGCTAGCCCCATTCTCCCCTTCCCCTCCCCCCCCCCCCCTTTCTCTTCCCTCCCCTCTCCTCCCCTCCCCTCCCCTCCCCTCCCCTCCCCTCCCCTCCCCTCCCCTCCCCACCCTCTCAGCTCGCCACTCCCAACGGCTCACCAGTCACGAGCCTGTCCATTGCTCTTCTCCCCCGTTTCATCCCAACGGGCATCTCAGCTAGCCCTCTCCAAGATGCTTCTAATTGTGACGACGCTGCTGTTGCACCAGCAGCAGCAGCAGAGGAAGAAGCAGACGCAGCAAAAACGGCAACAACAGCAGCAGCAGCAGCAGAAGCAGCAGCACTAGTCACGCCAGCAGCGGTGGTGGGAGCAGGATGTGCGTCAGGGCAAGTAGCGGCATGGTGGGTGCAATGGGGAGAAGGTGGGGGGAGAGGGGGACAGGGGAAGGGGAGAGGCGGTCAGAGGGGTAGCGGAGCCGGGGCAGCGGAAACAAATAGGGAGAGTGCGGAAGTGGTTTGTGAAGTGGGGAAGAGGGGAAAGAGGAAGGAGATTGGAGGAATGGATGGGTGTGTGACGGTGGGAGCATGGGCGGATGCACATGCAGCAGCGGTGACAGGAGTGGTGGTGGTGGTGCGAGGCAGGGGACTAGCAGCGCTCTACTCCTGCTCCCAGGTAAGTGCTTCTGTGTGTGGGGAAGGTGGTGGGTGTGTGGGCTAGGGGAGAACGTCCCATACAGGGGTGCTGGTGCTGATAGTGGTGGTGCGAGGCATGGGGCTAGCATCGCTCTACTCCTGCTCCCAGGTGAGCTTGTAGGTGGGGGGAGGCGGGTTGTGCGTGTGTGTGGGGTTTGTTGTACTGTCTTGAACTCACAGAAGTACTGAAGTGGATGAAAGTCGAGTCTAAGATCGCATGCAGCATGGTGGTGCTGGTGGTGCTGGTGGTGGTGCGATGCGATGCAGGGGGCTAGCAGCGCTCTACTCCTGCTCCCAGGTAAGTGCTTCTGTGTGTGGGGGGGGAAAAGATCTCCCATGTGATCACCCAGGTGTTATCCCAGTTACGCTTTCATTCACCTGTGCCGTTCATTGATGCAAGTGTACCCTGATTCCATGTACTCTCCCATTCCTGTTTCCCTCCACTTCCCTCAGGTCGATTCAATCAAGTGCTGGTCCGTCAACCCTCCACCCACCTTCTACACCTCCCCCTCCTCCTCCTCCTCCTCCCTCTCCTCCGCCCTCTCCTCCGCCCTCCCCTCCTCCCCACCCTCCTCTCCCCCCTCGGACTTCCTTCCCGTGCGGCCGCTTCCCCTTCCCCGCCTCTCCTCCGCCCTGCCTCTCGCCCTTTCAGAAGGCTTGGACGATGCCGTACAGGTGAGACATGTAAACAGGGCATGGCATGAGATGAGAGTAGGTGGCAATCTGGCATCATGGGAGCAGGCGATGAAGTCAGTGGGTGCACTGTGATGTGCGAGGACTGGGACGACCAAGTGATATGACGACCAAGTGATATGACGACCAAGTGATATGACGACCAAGTGATATGACGACCAAGTGATATGACCATTGTTATATGACTGGGTGCACTGTGAGAGGACTGGGGCGACGAAGTGATATGACGATTGTTATGTGACTGGGTGCACTGTGCGTTAGAGCCCCAACACTCGCCGTGAACATCCACGTGATATGAGTGATTTTTTGAGACGTTAAAAAAATACCACCCATATAACAGGACTGGGACGACCAAGTTACATACATGACGATTGTTGGCCTGGGATCCCCAACGCTTGCCGTGAACATCGTCACGCCACGCCAGTGTGCCTTGCCATTCTATTTTCTAAATCCCCCATTCTCTCTCTTCCATCCCCTCCCATGCCTTGCGCACTGACCCCTCTCACTTTATTGGCTGTCACGGCCTTGCCTGCTTCCACGTCATCCTCTCGTGCCTTGCCATGCTATCTTCATGTGACATGTCCCCCCCATCCCTGGCTTTTATCCCTCTCACTCCCCTCTTACTGACCCCAACTGACTTCACTGACACACGATCATGTCATTGCCTGTCATGTCCTTGCCTGCTCTCGCTCCATGCCATGCTATTTCCAACTTCCCCTTCTCCTATCGCTCCCGTGCTCCCATGCCCCACCACTCCGCCCCTCCCAGGCCTCGCGCACTGACCCCTCTCACTTCGTCGCCCGCCACGGCCTTGCTCAGATACCCTGGCGTGTCATGCCATTGCCATACCCGGCTATTCCCCTCTCCCATCCCTCCCACCATCCCCTCGCTCCCAGGACTTTGTCAAGTCAGTGGGGAGTGCTGTGACCCTCTGACTTCATTGGCTGTCATGGCCTTGCCTAATCTCTCACCATGCCATCATGCCTTGCCATGTAATCGTGCCTTGCCATGCTATCTTCATCCCCCCCCCATCCCCTCTTTTCCATCCCTCCCAGACCTCCCACACTGGCCCCACTGGCGTCCAAGTCTGTCACGGCCTTGCCTGCTCTCACCCCATGCCACTGTGTCTTGCCATCTCATGCCCCACCATCTCCTCCCATCTCATCTCTCCACCCACCGTCCCCTCTCTCCCAGACGTCACACACTAACCCCTCTGACTTTGTTGGCTGCCACGCCTGCTCTCACGCCATGCCATTGTGCCATGCCATCGCCATTCCCTGCCTTACCCTCCACCCATGCTCCCATGCTCCCTCCCCCTCGCAGTCCTCGCGCACTGACCCCTCTGACTTTGTTGGTTGTCACGGCCTTGCCTGCTCACCCAATCGCCTCCTCATCGCAACGGTCAGTCCCCAAACCCTAATCCACTCAATTCCGTTCTGCACTGTCTCAAAACTACCTTTGATTCTCACAGCCCTGACAACCCTTCACCTTCCCACCACCGTTAACCCTTTAATGATTCTCCTGTGACCTTAACGGTGTCTCATAATTTACTCCCAACGGCCATTCATCACTCGGCGTCCTTGCTGCCTGTCTTACTGCCTGCCCTGCTGCCTCCCCTTCTGTCCGCTGTGCTGGCTCCCCTTGTTGCCTCCTTACTGTCTGCCGTGCTGCCTTGCTACCTTTCCTTCTGCCTGCCCTTCTGCCGAACCTCCGTTGCTGCAGGTTCGGGACATGGCTCAGCATTTGAAGAATGACATGTACACCAAGTGAGTGCCTCTTTGGCTAGGCTTTCCCTTTGTCAGGTCAAACTTGCCTCTTGGTCCAGCCGAACTTGCCTCTTGGTCCGGCCGAACTTGCCTCTTGGTCCGGCCGAACTTGCCTCTTGGTCCGGCTGAACTTGCCTCTTGGTCCGGCTGAACTTGCCTCTTGGTCCGTTCAACTTGCCTCTTGTTCTGCCCTCTTCATCTTGTCCCTGCCTCTGCAGGTCGTTCAAAGAAGCAGTGCAGCTGTTCTGGATAGCAGGGCAACGAATCACTCATTCCCACTGGCGCCTAAAAAAAAGGTCAACAGGAGAGTCTTTTCTTCCTGACCCTCACTTCTTTCTGCTCTCTCATTCTGCTCCCTGCCTCGGCAGGTCGTTCAAAGCAGCAGTGCAGCTGCTCTGAATAGCAGGGCAACGACTCAATCCCACCACCTCTCCTGAGTGTGCTTCTGGTCCGCCCAAACTTGCCTCATAATCTGCCCTCTACCCCTGACCCCTCCCTGCCTCGGCAGGTCGTTCAAAGCAGCAGTGCAGCTGTTCTGGATAGCAGGCCAACGACTCAACCCCACCACCTCTCCTGCTGCTGCCCCGGCTGCCGCCCCTTCTGCCTCTGCTGCTTCTCCAATGCACACAATCACCTCTCCCAACCCTCCACCTGAGCCCCTTATCTCCCACCTGCTGCGCTGCTGGGGCGTGCCAAGGAGAGGCAAGGGGGCGACAGCAAGGCGAGCGCGGGAGATGGTGGCATGGGAGCAGGCACTCCGCTCCTCCCTTTGCCGCCTGCTCAACAGTGGCTGTTTCTGCTGCCCCTCCTCCTGCTGCTGCTCCTGCTCCTGCACACGCCTTCAGCTGCGCCCGTCGCCCTTTCTCCTCTGGGACCTCCTCGCCTCTCTTCTCAGCCTCGCCAAGCAAGCTGCCTCGCTTCCTACCACTGCAGCTGCAGCCAGTTCCACCACCCCTTCCTCCTCCACCGTCCTGCCATCTGCCAGCCTGACTGCCTCGCTCTGCTCGCCCCTCTCCCTCCTCATCTCTCTCCTACTCTCCGAGCTCGTCCCCTGCCCCGTTTCCCGCGCTGCTCTCTCCCTCTTGCTCCTTGGTGACTCGCCTCTTCCCTCATCCGTTGCAGCTGCCAGCAGCACTGGTCAAGAGCAGCAGCGGCAGCAGAAGGAGAATTGTCAGCAGCAGCACGAAGTACAAGTGAGCGCAGGGGATGCTATTCGGAGCCTCTCAACAAGACAGCTGCAGATACTTTCTACTTTCCTCCGCCACATGCTCACATCTGCACTCCCTAGCAACCAGCAGCAGCAACAGCAGCTCAATCTCACCCCCAGGCGCACCACACTTCCCTCCCCGTCCTCCTCTCCTTCCTTCCTCCTCTCCCCTCTCCTCCCTCCCCCTGTCTTGTCCAAGCAACAAGGGACAGCGTTGCAGGTTTGGCAGCAGGGCACGCAGGAGGGAGAGGAGGAGCAGTTACGAGTTGGTGTGGGACGGTGGAGCCAGGTGCAGCAGGTGCAGGAGGGGTTGAGAAGGATGCAGAAGGAATTGCAGCAACGGTTGGCTTTGTCTGTTATGGTCACTGCTGCCTTGTGTCACGGCGAGGAAAGAGGGAATGAGATGGAAGGGGCAGAGAGAAACGAGGTAGGAGGGGGAGAGGTAGCAGGAAGGGAGGCAGCCGGGGGAGAAGCGGCAGCAGGGGCTAACAAAGCAGCAAAGGGATGCATGGTGCAAGCAGCAATCGATTCGTGCCAGTGGGTGCTCTCTCAAACCACGCACACTACTACCACTGCCGCCGCTGCTGCTACTGGTGGTGGTGATGCTAGCAGTGTAGGCCTGAATAAGGCCACACAGGAGCAGACGGCAACGGAACCAACTGTCCTAGTGCATCCCCTTCTCACAGCCTGTGCACATGCATTTGCACACTGGTAAGTACTAAGAAGCCTTTTTTTGCTGATATGTATCCGCATCGCATCTACAACTTGTCTTCTTCTCACAGCATGTTATAATGCAAATATTTTGCTTCTACAACTTTTCTGCTTCGCTCTGATCCAACACCCTATCTATATCACTAGCCTTATCTGTCTCTTCTCCTCCTAACCATTCGTCTCTCTCGATTCATGCATGCTCTTTTCCTCCCTTCTACCCCTCTCCCCTCTTTTACCTTCCTAGCACCTCACTTTTTCGCTTCCCTTTCTTCCCATCTCCTCCCCCTTCCCTCACTGCAGGTCTGGAATCACAACCCCTGCCACTCTCCCCACCCCTCACCATATCCCCCTCTGCCCGGTCACACTAAAGCCAATTGAGGCCACCCAGCCAGCGTGGCATTGTTTGTCCTGTAGCCGCTGGATCTCCCCCGAAGGCATGCACTGCCTGGACGCTTGCCGCCCGCTCTTCCTGCCCCCGGGCAGCCAAAACTTCTGGGTCCGGGCAGAGGCATGGGCGGAGCGTTTAAAGGAAGCCACCGAACGAACAGAGGCAGCTGAAGCCTCTGGAATATCAGGTGAAGCAGCAGCGAATCAGCTATTGCCTGCTTGTATGCGTGAAATGGAAGCTACAGGGGAAGGGAAGTGGGTGAGAGGAGAGGAGGTAACAGCAGCAGCAGCAGCCACCACCACCATGCCTGTTTGCCCGTACTGTGGGGTGCAAGTTGTTGCACCCACTTCATGCACACTGCTGTCTCCCTCGCTTGTATGACATGAAGAAATTCTCGGCTTGTACACGAGAGGGGAAGCTGATGGTAAGGTGTGCACACCTGCAAGGCTATCAGAAGTTACTGTGCCTGTTTGCCCGTATTGTGGGGTGCGTGCTGCTGCACCCACCCCATGAACCCTGCTGTCTGCCTCGCTTGTATGCCATGTACAATACTCAGTTTAAAAAACTAATCGTTGTTGATATTGTGTGGAGTCAAAATTCAGAAAAAACTAACATCCGTATATTCAGACAGCAAGAATTTGTTCAGATGATTTTCACATGAATATAAAATAACACTTATTCTAACAAGCCGCAGTCACATTACATGCAGACACATGCCAGACAAGGCAGCTGAGGAGTCAAATGGCATGCTGCAAAAGCAGGCAGTCACACAGAGAGCAGCGGAGGAGAAAAGGTGTAAGCTGCAAAGGCAGGCAGTCACACGAAGAGCAACTGAGGAGTCAGGTGTAAGCACGCAGTCACAAGGAGAGTGCCTGGAGATCAAAAAGAATTTCACTGGTTTGACTGACATGCACGGGCAGCAAATGCACGAGCAGCAAATGCACGCGCATGTAACCACGTGGCAGATCAGGCAGCTGGGGGAGCAAACGGCATGGTGTGAATGCAGTGTGCAAACGAACGACCATGAACTCACAAAGAGAGCTCCATAAGACCAAAGCAACTCACTGACGCATGTCGCAATGGCAATTAGCAGGAAAGGGAACTACAGAGAAATCACTTAAGACAATCACTCAAAGGGAAGCAGCAAACCGAAGGAGCTGAGGCATGGAGCAGAGGCAAGAGGACAAGTAGCAGGTGCGGGGAAGGGGAGATGAGGGGGTGAGCGGGAGAGGGAGTTGAGGAGAGCTGTGAGATGAGTGGTAGGGGCAGGGGGAACGAGGGAGGGTTAGGAGGGGCAGGAGAGAGGAGGGGGAGGGTCTGGAGAGAGGTGGATGGGAATGCGGAGATGAAGGGTGAGTGGAGGGGGAATGTGGGTTGAAAATGTGGGAATGGGGAAGGGACTGGAGAGAGGTGATGGATGGGAAAAGGTAATGAGGAGTGTATGGGTGGGGTTGAAAAGGGGTGAGCGGGGGAAAGGGGAGGGGAGAGCGGGGGGGATGAGGGATGGTCAGGACGTGGGAATAGGGGGAAGATGACGGGTGAGTGGGGGTACGGTGGGAGGGGGGGAGAGGGGGGAGTGGGGGATGGGGAGAGCCGGGGAGATGAGGAACGAGCACAAAAAATGAGGGGAGAGCGCTGAAGATGGGGGAAGAGCGGGGACGATGAGGGGAGAGTGGGGGAGACGAAGGGAGAGCGGGGTTTTGAGGGGAGAGAGGGGATGCGGGGAGAATGAGGGGAGGGTGGGGGAGAGAGGGGGGAGCGGGGATTTGGGTGGGGGATGCGGGATGCGTGACGTTTCTATGCAAGGTCGGGGAACAAGGGGGAGGGAGGGGACGGAAGCGCGGGAAGGGAAAAGGGGGAAATCAGGGGAAAGAGGCCACTCCACTTCTACCTCCGTTCCCTTACCCATCCCACCCACCCAGGATCCCTCTTTCCACTGTTTTGCTAAACGGTCAGGCTCATGCGCCATGGATCGTGTCATGTGTTCGCATGATAAGTCTTTATAAAGACGTGGCAAATGTCTTCACATTTTTATCCTCGACTCCCAAATAGACTTGAACGAAGCGTCACGAATGTGTCCCCGAATCGACAATTTTGTTCCAAACGCAGATAAATACAGGAGCTTAAAAATCGTCAGATCTTAAAAAACGACAGATACGACTGCTGTCGCAAATCTGGAAAGAGCAGCTAACACAGTACCTTCGACGCTAGCAGCACCGGACTAAATGTGTGAAGCGGCGAACGCTGAAGTAGTTCTAAGCGCGATCGAGACTAGCTACGGTACTGAGATGTAACTAGTAACGGAGACAAGATTAGAAACTCCATGTGAAAAATAACTACCGCTTTTGCCTCCAAAAATCAGTAAGCGAGGGTAGCGAGATGTACGGTGATGGGAGAAATCGTCGCTGCTTTGATGTAACAGAACGGAACTAGCTAACTAGCTAATAGAACTGGATTATGAGTCATGTCATGACGAATGAGAAATCAAATGCCTCGGTGGTGAGGTCGGGGTGACGGAAACATTTCTGTCCGTGGCAACACCCTTCATATCTATTGGTTCGCGGAATTTCCCTTCAGGATCAATTTGTATTTTCAGCTGCCCATTTGAGGTTCAGAGAACCAAAAACTATGAATTTCCTAACTATCCATCCGCCGTCCCGCACCTTACGCCAGAACCACGGAATGACTCATATTTTTTAGAAAAGCGCCACGTCCACCACCTACTAGAAAGTTCAAGCCTGCCCTAGCCCATACTTCCTCGATATCCACAACCCTCAACCAGCATCTCCCACATGATACGCGCCCTTAGCAGATTCGTTTGTACAGTAGAAATACAAAATCAGCCACCAGTGAACTGTATCGCCAGGCACGTGTCCTCTTCAACAATTGCAGTGTCGTGTTCTTCGGTTCAGGTTCAGTTCAGGGCTCTGTCCAAGTTGCCATGTGTGTATAAACACGTCGAGTTAACAGTACAAGGCGCTGAATAGACTAAGGGAATTTCATTCAATAAAAAGTTACAAGTCAGAACTGCTAGCATTGTAAGCTCCGTAAGCCAAGTGTAAACGGATCCTCCTGCGGCTCCACATCATCGCCTCCACAGCAGCTTGACCGTCTTCTTGAGCCTCCACAGCAGCTTGAAAGTCTTCTTGACCCCTCTTGGCCGTCAGAGGCAAATGCCCCTGACGTTCACCCACGCACCACGATGAGGTGGAGGTCATTCGCGTGGGGCCTGCTTGGGAGGGAGGGGGGCGGGGCGAGAAAGTGCTTGGGAGGGGGGGAAACGGTCAAATTAGTGACGGGCAGATGAAAATAAACACGTCGAATTTGACAATAGGTTCCCCGTTGTCAGAATGTTCAGAATGACGGCCAGCCGTCAAGAGGACGACCAGCCGTCAAGAGGCATACCTGAACGCACCTGGTTACCACCCATACCATCGCCCATGTTAGTGCCTAATCGAGTCTATCTAACGCGCTCCTAATCGTCCTGTACCCATCACCACCCCTCTTACAAGGCCTGGTGCTTGCGCTGGTTGCTCCCGCTCCCGCCAAATCTGACAGAAAGGGCGGGATGGGAGGAAAGTCAAATTCCATCCTCGCTCCTTGCTCCCGCTCCTCCGCGCTCCACGCCCGATACGCGATGCCACCCTCCAGAGAGAAGCTCCGCCAAGCGCCGTGCGCCCGTGACCGCGCCTTCGCCAGTGGGACACGCCGTGCGCCGCATGCGTCCGCATCGTCGCCGCGCGTCTCCGTTCATCGCCGCGAGTCCCCGTTCGTCGCCGCGCGTCGCCATTCGTCGCCGCGTTTCTCTTGCGTCCCCATTCGTCGCCGCTTGCCTCTGTTCGTCGCCTCGCGTCCCCCGTTCGTCGCCATTGTCGCCGTGTATCGTGCGCGTCAGCCTCTGCAGGAAGAAAGCAAAGCAGCATTAGAACGTAGAAAACTCAAATCAAATATATGCAGCCAAGACGCGTTGAACCTAGATCGCTAAAACTGATGAACGGACACACTTCACCTTTGCCGGAGCGAGGCGTTGCTGGTAGCGTCCCCTTGTGACGTCCCCTTGCGACGTGAGACACGCGCCATTCGTCGCCATGAAGCTTCGCCATGCTTCGCCGCGAAGCGTCCCCACCCCAAGCGTCTCGTGCGCCGGCGGACGGTCAGGCTCTGCAGGAGTAACAAAATCAAATCACAATAAGTTAGATTCCTTGGAAACGTAAAGAGCAGAATCGACGAAAGCAGACTGAGTTGAATCCTACGGGACTTACCAGCACACCACCGTGTACACCACGACAGACTCTGAAGTCCGAGAGAAGCGCCCCGCCATTGAGACACGCCGTGCGCGCGCCTGAAAATCATCGGCCGTGCCTCGCCATGCGTCCCATTCGTCGCCGCGCGTCTCCGCTAGTCGCCGCGCGCCGGCAAACGGTCAGGCTCTGCAGGAGTGACAAAATCAATTTAACAAGAAGTTAGATTCTTTGAAAAGGTTAAGAGCAGATTCGACGAAAGCAGACTGAGTTGAATCCTACGGGACCTACGCGTCTCCGTTAGTCGCCGCGCGTCCCCCGTTCGTCGCCATTCGTCCATGTGTCGCCGCGCCCCCGTGCGCCGGCGTACGGTCAGGCTCTGCAGGAAGGAAAGCAACAGAATAAGATTAAACGGCCAAAAAAATAAGCTGATATTTTTGAGGCGCGAGCTTTAACGGACTTACCCTTGCTCCCGTTGCTGCTCCCTCGCTCCCGTTGTCGCTCCCTCGCTGCCGTTGTTACCGCAAGGTCCTGCACTGAAGACAAATCACACGAAAACAACCGTTAGTATTCAAGTTTAACGAAGAATTAAACTTGGCTGAAGTTGACGCTACTTACCAGAGAAAGAAGAGGAAGAGCTCTCTCTCCCGTAGTCGCTCCTCCTCCTGCCGTTGTTGCCGCAAGCTCCTGCACTGAAGACATAGAACACGAAATCAAAGTTAGTATTCATGTTTTACGAAGAATTAAACTTGGCTGAAGTTGAAGCTACTTACCAAAGAAAGACGAGGAAGAGCTCTTTCTCCCGTCGTCGCTCCTCCTCCGAAGTCCTGCACTAAGAGAACACGAGCACAAAAAGGCATTAAGTATACGGAAAAGGAAGCAGCGAAACGAAAGCAGACGGTTCTTACCGTGAAAGCCTCCTTTGTTCGTCGCAGCCCCCGCGAGCTCCCCTCCGCCACTTCCGCTGCACAAAGAAGTTAGTTTCATGAACGAAGAAAAAGCTTAACGGAATTCGGCGAAACTTACCGTGGATGTGAGACCGCCTCCCCGCGTTACCTCCCTTGATCGTCGCTGACCCCGCCGCGAGCTCCCATTCCCGCGGCTTCCGTTGTTCCTGCACGCTTCTCCTGCGCTAAAAGCAACAAACAAACACTAGATTTCGAAAAGGAATCAACATAACTGAATTTGACCGTACTTACCAGAGAAGAGAAGAGCTAGCTCTCCTTTACCTCCCTTACTCGCAGTAGTTGCTGCTCCTCCTGCTGCACTGCACAGAGGAACACGACAAAGAGCGTTAGATATCCCGAAGAGGAAGCAGCAAAACGAAATTAGACGGTTCTTACCGTGAAAGCCGCTCGGGCTTTTACCGTGGTCGACGTCGACGTTGACGTTGACGTTGACGGTCGTCTTGGTCGTCTTGGTCGTCTTGGTCGTCTTGGACGGCTTGGTCGTCTTGGTCGTCTTGGTCGTCTTGGTCGTCTTGGACGGCTTGGACGGCTTGGACGGCTTGGTCGTCTTGGTCGTCTTGGTCGTCTTGGTCGTCTTGGACGGCTTGGACGGCTTGGACGGCTTGGTCGTCTTGGTCGTCTTGGACGGCTTGGACGGCTTGGTCGTCTTGGTCGTCTTGGTCGTCTTGGACGGCTTGGACGGCTTGGTCGTCTTGGTCGTCTTGGACGGCTTGGACGGCTTGGTCGTCTTGGTCGTCTTGGTCGTCTTGGACGGCTTGGACGGCTTGGACGGCTTGGTCGTCTTGGTCGTCTTGGACTGCTTGGTCGTCTTGGCCGTCTTGGTTGTTGATGTTGACGTTGACGTCTTGGTTGTTGACGTTGACGTTGACGTCTTGGTTGTTGACGTTGACGTCTTGGTTGTTGACGTTGACGTTGACGTCTTGGTTGTTGACGTTGACGTCTTGGTTGTTGACGTTGACGTCTTGGACTTTCTCATTCCTGGCTGCGCATCGACCACGTCATGCCACGAGTGAGAAAGGCCGAAGAAAGATAACAAAACGGAAGATGACGAAACGAAAAACGACGACGAATCTGAGAGACGTCACCGGCGCGGTGCGAAGCGCCGCGCGACGGGTGAAGAGTCGCCATGCTCCCGCCGAAGCGACGCCGTGCGACGGGATACTCGTCGCCATGTCCCGGACGAAGCAACGCCGCGCGACGGGAGAAGCGCCATCGACGGGTCTCCTCACCATCTGCAAGGAACAAGGAAAACCGTTAGCTGAAGCGTTGACGAAAGGACGAATAACCGTTGAAAACCCATCGAAACTGCTGGTGGTGTTATCGCGTTCTTACCATCCGGCAATCAAAGCGCCACTAGCGACGGAAGAACCGTCATCAGCCGCATTCGCCGCCATCCGCCGTGCAAAGAGCCGCGCGAAGGGAAAAACGCGTCGCCAAGCGCCAACTAAGGGTCTCCTCACCATCTGCAGGAAGAAAGAAGAAGCGTTAGCTGAACTGTTGAAACAAGGACGAATAAGGTAGCATGATTATAAAAAATACTATTGCGTTCTTACCATCCGACAAACAAAGCGGCACTAGCGCCGGAAGAACCGTCATCAGGGGCACGCGCCGTCGCCTAACGCCACGCGACGATAGAAGCGCCACTCGCGACGATGGGAATATCACGATGCCGTGAAGCGGCAGGACCCTGAATCTGCATGAAATAACGAATACGTTAGTGCAGATATGTAAAAATAATGAATTGTAGTTGAAGATCTCTGAAACGGAACCACACTTACGTTCATTGTGATAAAAAACTAGGCTTGAAATAAAAACTTCATCGTAAAGACTTGAGTGAAGCGTCGCCAAACGCCAAGTTCCGCGCGACGGGAGAGTCGCCATGCACAATGCTGCTGAAGCCGCAGCGTCCGCGTTGCTTTGACCCGAGTCAGTGACGTTGCGAAGCGGGATTTCCTAGGAAATGCAGCTCCGGACAAATCAAGGCGGGTCTGCGGCTTCAGTGGCATTGTGCATAGCGGAAATCGCCGTCGTCGTCGCTGAGTGAGAGCTTGGACCGTCGTTGTTAAGAGAGAGCTTGGTCGATGGAAGGTTCCGTCGGATGGCCTCTCACGTCGTTGGTCGCCTGCAGGGTCAACGAAAAACGCGTTAGTATATTTTCCTTCAAAATATATTTAAAACTTAGAGACAGAGGAAGTTAAAAAAAAGAGCGAAACGCTTATTTAAATTAGGAAGACTGCACTTACGCCAAGCGTCTTCATCTCTTCGTGAGAACGTGAAGACTTCACGCAGCGACGGTGGTAGCTCCTATCCGCGTTCGGTGGTTGTTGACGGTTCAAGTGTTAGCGTCGGCGCTTCAAGTCCTTGCGTCGGCGCTTCAAGTCCTGGCGTTGACACTTCGAGTCAAGACGGTCGCCAGGAGGTCTGCGTGGAATAAAGCAAAAGGTTAGTGCTTGAATAATGGTTAGTGCTTGAATAATGTTGAACGATTTAGAGCTTAAGAAATGAACCGGCCGAGAACGGTTGCAAGATGAAGTTGAAAACAAGTTGCACTTACCCCCACTCGACTGTCTTAATGAGACGGGGCCACCGATGGGGAAGGCCACTTGAAGCACTTGGAGCCGTGAAGATGTCGCCTTGGACGAGCTTGACTGGAAGATCCTGGCTTGAAGATCTTGCGCGTGAAGATCTTGGCTTCAATGTCGGCGCTTCGAGTCTCGCCAAGACGGCCAAGAGGTCTGCGGGAAGAAAGCAACAGGTCAGAATCTGTTGAACAATGTCGAGGCATTAAGTGACAGAACGAAGTCGAAATAGTTGCCGCTTACCTCCACTCGACAGTCTTCGTGTTGATGGTGAAGGCCGGAGCGGAGCCGCGATGATGTCGCCGTGGAAGTTCTTGTCGCTATGCGGATCTCGCTGCGAAATCTTGAATTTGCCGCGAGAACCCCGTGTTGTAGAGGGCTCAAGTGTTAGCGTCGGCGCTTCATGTCTCCGCGGAGAGGTCTGCGGAAGGAAAGAAAATCAGATTAGCACTTGAACTATGTTGAACCAGTCAGAACCTAACTTGCCAAGAAACGGTTGCTGCAAGGAGTTGAAAAAGAATGGACTTACCGACTCGTGAGACTTGGTCACGGCGGCCGCGCCAGCAGGGGAGGCGCCATGCGACACCTGAAGTTCTTGAAGCTCATGAAGCACTTGGACCACTTGCAGCTCTTGAAGCACTTGAAGCCCTTGAAGCTCTTGAAGCTCTTGCAGCAGCGATCTTGAAGCGGAGGCGTCGCCATTACGATTTCGCTGCGAAGATATCGCCGTGGAAGATTTTGGCCTGAAGATCTTGTAGTGAGGACCTCGCCATGCAGATCTTGCGGTGATACTTGTAGCGAGGATCTCGCCATGCATATGTTGCGGTGATATCTTGAATTCGTCGCGGTGAAAAACTTGCCGCGAAAACCCGGTTTCGTGAATGGTTCAGCCATAGGCACTTGGCAGCTCGCTAAGACTCTAATCTACCCAACCCCCCAACCACGCTATTCTACACGAGACTCTCTACGCGACCTCACGCCGCCGCATGCCTAAGCTTTCCCCATTCACTAGCCGGGTGGCTTCAGATATTGCATTTGCTCCGAGGAGCGAGTAGCTTGAAGTCCAAAAGGAGCTCAATAAGTTGGAGCTTTACTGGAAATCCTTCATTGAATTCGTGAAGCTGGAAATGAACTCCATGAATGAGACTTTACACGAGCAGAGGTGAGTTGAGAGTGAGGAGGATGATGAAGCAACTGAACCAGAAGGAGAAAGAGAATTTGTTGGTTAGCGGCACCACGGCGCGAAACAGCGCGACTCCAACCCAAATGTGATGGGTCAAATCAAAGCCGTAAAGCGGCTGAAAGCATTCTCTGTCAGAATGGGTCAACCCTACAGTGGCGCATTCAAAAGTCCCCGCCACGAAGTAATTGACGGAATATTCCGAGCCGCATGGTTGGGGGCTTGAGGCGCCGCAAAGTTCAGAGCCGAACCCCCAAACAAACCAAGCTGTACACTTCATTCACAAACTGGTTGATTTTGACAAACTGCTTGTGTTGTTCCTTTCTGCAAACGCATCTGCTGAGGGCGCGTATGTGTGGGAGAGGTTGGTTGAGGACCCTGGGTTGGAAGAAGTAAGGGCTGGGCAGGCTTGAACTTTCTAGGAGGTGGACGTGGCGCTTCTCTAAAATATTAAGTTTCGAGTTTGAGTGAGTTCTGCGTCAGATGCGGGACGGCGGAGGGATGGTTAGCGAAATTCCTGCGTAGCGAAATTCCTGCGTGGCGTGACTTTTTCCACACTTCGTTCTGCCCTTCCAAACTTGACTTGGGCAGCTGGAAATTTAAAAGGTGATCCTGAAGGGATTTAGCTAGCCAATAGAAATCAAGGGTGTTTCCACGGCAGCACCGAATGTTTCTGTCACCGTCACGCAAGCACCAAGGCGTTGAATCAATAACCCCGATCTCACAGTTTCTCACCTGCCATACCTAATTCCTCTCATTCAGCATTATCCAGTTCTAATAGTTACTCTCCCCTTAGATCGAGTCAGCGATGATTAGTTCTCCTGTCACCGTTCATCTCGCTACCGTCGCTTACTGATTTTTGGAGGCAAAAGCGGTAGTTCGTTTTTCCATGGAGTCCCTGATCTTGTTTCCGTAACTAGTTGGATCTCAGTACCTTTTTAGTCTTAATCGCGCTTCGGTCCTACTTCAGCGTTCGCCGCTTCACACATCTAGTGCGGTTACTATAGCTAACTCTTTGAGACTAGTTGCTCTCCCTCCAGATTCGCGCCATTAGTGGTAGTTGGTGTACTGGTAAGATCTGCGGGTAATGAGACGACTTTTGAGGCGCCTCAAAAGCCATTAGTGGTAGTTGGTGTACTAGTAAGATCTGACGTTTTTTTAGCTCGAGTATCTCAACGTTCATTTGCGTTGCGAATTTTAGCGCCGATTTGCGGACACATTCGTGACGATTATTTTATTGAGACTTTTTTTGGGTCGAAAAACAAAACTGCTGACAAATTCGCTACTTCTATCATTGGGGTCTTATCCTGCAAACGCATGATACAAACGCAAGCCACATTAGCCTGGCGGATGCGCAAGAAAGTGGGAAAGGGGAGGTCGGCAGGGAAAAGAGGCGTAAGGGAGCGAATGGGAAAGGAGTGGATCAGTGAAAGTCGTTATTTGAAGCGCGTTAAGGGACGCCACAAGGGAGAGTCCTCTTTCTCATTTTTTTACCTATTTCCCTCCCCTCTCTTCCCCTGCCTAGTAACGTCATGCATCTCTCATCCCCCACGCTCTCTCTTCATCTCCCCCGCTCTCCCCCACGCCTCCCCGCTTTCCCCTCAGTAGCCTGCGTGCGCCGCTTATCCCCCCGTGCTCCTTTGCTTCTCCCCTCCCTCTGCACCCACTTCTCATCTTCGCTCTGCTCACCCCTCGTTCCCCCTCCTCTCCCCTTTCCCCCCTATTCCGCTCCCCTTCCACCGCCCCCTCATCATCCCCCATTTCCCTCACCTCCTTTGCCCCTTCATGTCCGTCCTAACCATCCCCCATCCCCCCTCCCTCCCCTCCGCCTTCCCCCACTCACCCCTCATCTGCCCCCACCCATTCACTCCTCGTGCGCATCCCCCATCCATCCCTCTTGCCAGGCAACCCACCCACCCAACCCCCCTCCTCCTCCCCCTCCGCCTCCACGCTCTCCTAGTCCCCCCCCATCTCTCATTCCACCCCCACTCACCCCTCATCTGCCCCCACCCATTCACTCCTCATGCGCATCTCTCATGCGTAACCAACTCCCCCCCTCCCCCCCCCCCCCCTTTCTCCCCTCCCTCCACGCTCGCCTAGCCCCCCAGGCCCCCCCCCCCCCCCCCCCCCCCCCCATCTCTCATTCCACCTCCACTCACCTCTCATTTCCTCGCAGCTCTCTTTCAATTCTCTCCACGCCCCTCTCCCGCTCAATCCCCCATCTTCCCCTCCTCCCGCCCCTAGGTTCTTGCATCAGTCGTCGTGGCTGTGAATCCCGAGTTGACTTATGAGTCGACTCAAAAGTCAACTTGGTTCTTGCATCAGTCGTGGCTGTGAATCCCGAGTTGACTTATGAGTCGACTCAAAAGTCAACTCGGTTCTTGCATCAGTTCTGTGAATCCCGAGTTGACTTATGAGTCGACTCAAAAGTCAACTCGGTTCTTGCATCAATCGTGGCTGTGAATCCCGAGTTGACTTATGAGTCGACTCAAAAAGTCAACTCGGTTCTTGCATCAATCGTGGCTGTGAATCCCGAGTTGACTTATGAGTCGACTCAAAAGTCAACTCGGTTCTTGCATCAATCGTGGCTGTGAATCCCGAGTTTACTTATGAGTCGACTCAAAAGTCAACTCGGTTCTTGCATCAATCGTGGCTGTGAATCCCGAGTTTACTTATGAGTCGACTCAAAAGTCAACTCGGTTCTTGCATCAGTCATGTCAGTGAATCCCTTTGACTATGTGACTTCTTGCTTACACCTGATCTGACCTCTCAGTGGTTCTCTGTGTGACAGCTGGCCTTGTTCTCTGCGTGCCATTTTACCGACTCAATTGCCTGGTTTGGCACGGGTGACTGCACGTGATGTCTGCTGTTAGTCATGCATCTGTTACCTACTAATCAGTCAGTAGTAGAGATTTCTAATCCCTTGTGGCACTGTATGTGTGTCTGTTAGCATTTGCAGTACCGTATGTGTGACCCAGCTGCTGTTGTCCGCGACTGCTTGCTTTTCCAACATTGAGCACAGAATAAACAAGCTGTCAAGCTCTCAAGAGTACAGGGTACGGGACAGGACCCTGAGTACAGTCTGAGATCATGCTGGCCAAAGTTCTGCCAAAACTCCCCATCCCCGTTTTGATTTCCCTGCTCAGCCACGTGATTGAATTGAGTGGTGTGGTGTGGGAAGGATATCAAACCCCCTCCCGTTGCTGCTCGTGACATTGCAGGCTTGTATAAATTGCGGAGATGAATTACATGCTTTATATACATTGCAGAGATAGATTGCACGCTAATATACACTGCAGAGATGGTTCCCTTCACTCATCCTCCTCTCCCACTTGCAATCCCGGCTGCAATGCCACAAGCTCCTCTGCCTCCTGGGAGCAACGAGGGGGATTGTGGTGCGGGCGGTGCAAGAGTTGGTAGTGCGTGCTCCTCTTTCACTCATCCTCCTCATCCACTTGCAATCCCGGCTGCAATGACACGATCTCCTCTGCTTCCTGCCGGCAATGAGGGGGATGGATGGCAGTGGTAGTGGTGGTGGTGGTTGTGACATGGTGGGTTCTCTTCAAGAGTTGGTGGCGACTGCTACCGTACCATGTCAACTTGTAAAGGGAAGAAACAGAGCAGGATCATCAGAGCACAACGGGGGTCAGCTTTTGGTGTGCTTCAAAAGCCACACGAGGCAGGGTGCATGTTAACGAAAAAAAAAAAAAACAGAAGAAAAACTCGACCCTTTAGAGCCAAGTCAGAACCCACCACCACTGACCTCAAATGCATTCGGAAAGGCCCTTTTCAGCTTCGCCTTCATTTCCCTGCATGGACCACGGACCGCAAACACGGCACGCAAATTCAGGTCACGCTCGTATCAAAGGCAGCCCACGTGCCACACTGCCACACACTGCCACACACTGCCGCCTGCCACGGCAGGGGTTTCACATACCAGTGCCTTTTTCTGCACAGCCCGCGCCAACCCCTCCCAGGGCACCTGATTTCACGGAACGAGCACATGAGGCGCGCACGCATGGCAGGCTCTTCAGACGGCAGCGCGTGTTTTTTTAGAATTCTCAAAAAACAGGCGCGCACGCATGGCAGGCTCTTCAGACGGCAGCGCGTGTTTTTTTAGAATTCTCAAAAAACAGGCGCGCACGCATGGCAGGCTCTTCAGACGGCAGCGCGTGTTTTTTTAGAATTCTCAAAAAACAGGCGCGCACGCATGGCAGGCTCTTCAGACGGCAGCGCGTGTTTTTTTAGAATTCTCAAAAAACAGGCGCGCACGCATGGCAGGCTCTTCAGACGGCAGCGCGTGTTTTTTTAGAATTCTCAAAAAACAGGCGCGCACGCATGGCAGGCTCTTCAGACGGCAGCGCGTGTTTTTTTAGAATTCTCAAAAAACAGGCGCGCACGCATGGCAGGCTCTTCAGACGGCAGCGCGTGTTTTTTTAGAATTCTCAAAAAACAGGCGCGCACGCATGGCAGGCTCTTCAGACGGCAGCGCGTGTTTTTTTAGAATTCTCAAAAAACAGGCGCGCACGCATGGCAGGCTCTTCAGACGGCAGCGCGTGTTTTTTTAGAATTCTCAAAAAACAGGCGCGCACGCATGGCAGGCTCTTCAGACGGCAGCGCGTGTTTTTTTAGAATTCTCAAAAAACAGGCGCGCACGCATGGCAGGCTCTTCAGACGGCAGCGCGTGTTTTTTTAGAATTCTCAAAAAACAGGCGCGCACGCATGGCAGGCTCTTCAGACGGCAGCGCGTGTTTTTTTAGAATTCTCAAAAAACAGGCGCGCACGCATGGCAGGCTCTTCAGACGGCAGCGCGTGTTTTTTTAGAATTCTCAAAAAACAGGCGCGCACGCATGGCAGGCTCTTCAGACGGCAGCGCGTGTTTTTTTAGAATTCTCAAAAAACAGGCGCGCACGCATGGCAGGCTCTTCAGACGGCAGCGCGTGTTTTTTTAGAATTCTCAAAAAACAGGCGCGCACGCATGGCAGGCTCTTCAGACGGCAGCGCGTGTTTTTTTAGAATTCTCAAAAAACAGGCGCGCACGCATGGCAGGCTCTTCAGACGGCAGCGCGTGTTTTTTTAGAATTCTCAAAAAACAGGCGCGCACGCATGGCAGGCTCTTCAGACGGCAGCGCGTGTTTTTTTAGAATTCTCAAAAAACAGGCGCGCACGCATGGCAGGCTCTTCAGACGGCAGCGCGTGTTTTTTTAGAATTCTCAAAAAACAGGCGCGCACGCATGGCAGGCTCTTCAGACGGCAGCGCGTGTTTTTTTTAGAATTCTCAAAAAACAGGCGCGCACGCATGGCAGGCTCTTCAGACGGCAGCGCGTGTTTTTTTAGAATTCTCAAAAAACAGGCGCGCACGCATGGCAGGCTCTTCAGACGGCAGCGCGTGTTTTTTTAGAATTCTCAAAAAACAGGCGCGCACGCATGGCAGGCTCTTCAGACGGCAGCGCGTGTTTTTTTAGAATTCTCAAAAAACAGGCGCGCACGCATGGCAGGCTCTTCAGACGGCAGCGCGTGTTTTTTTAGAATTCTCAAAAAACAGGCGCGCACGCATGGCAGGCTCTTCAGACGGCAGCGCGTGTTTTTTTAGAATTCTCAAAAAACAGGCGCGCACGCATGGCAGGCTCTTCAGACGGCAGCGCGTGTTTTTTTAGAATTCTCAAAAAACAGGCGCGCACGCATGGCAGGCTCTTCAGACGGCAGCGCGTGTTTTTTTAGAATTCTCAAAAAACAGGCGCGCACGCATGGCAGGCTCTTCAGACGGCAGCGCGTGTTTTTTTAGAATTCTCAAAAAACAGGCGCGCACGCATGGCAGGCTCTTCAGACGGCAGCGCGTGTTTTTTTAGAATTCTCAAAAAACAGGCGCGCATGCATGGCAGGCTCTTCAGACGGCAGCGCGTGTTTTTTTAGAATTCTCAAAAAACAGGCGCGCACGCATGGCAGGCTCTTCAGACGGCAGCGCGTGTTTTTTTAGAATTCTCAAAAAACAGGCGCGCACGCATGGCAGGCTCTTCAGACGGCAGCGCGTGTTTTTTTAGAATTCTCAAAAAACAGGCGCGCACGCATGGCAGGCTCTTCAGACGGCAGCGCGTGTTTTTTTAGAATTCTCAAAAAACAGGCGCGCACGCATGGCAGGCTCTTCAGACGGCAGCGCGTGTTTTTTTAGAATTCTCAAAAAACAGGCGCGCACGCATGGCAGGCTCTTCAGACGGCAGCGCGTGTTTTTTTAGAATTCTCAAAAAACAGGCGCGCACGCATGGCAGGCTCTTCAGACGGCAGCGCGTGTTTTTTTAGAATTCTCAAAAAACAGGCGCGCACGCATGGCAGGCTCTTCAGACGGCAGCGCGTGTTTTTTTAGAATTCTCAAAAAACAGGCGCGCACGCATGGCAGGCTCTTCAGACGGCAGCGCGTGTTTTTTTAGAATTCTCAAAAAACAGGCGCGCACGCATGGCAGGCTCTTCAGACGGCAGCGCGTGTTTTTTTAGAATTCTCAAAAAACAGGCGCGCACGCATGGCAGGCTCTTCAGACGGCAGCGCGTGTTTTTTTAGAATTCTCAAAAAACAGGCGCGCACGCATGGCAGGCTCTTCAGACGGCAGCGCGTGTTTTTTTAGAATTCTCAAAAAACAGGCGCGCACGCATGGCAGGCTCTTCAGACGGCAGCGCGTGTTTTTTTAGAATTCTCAAAAAACAGGCGCGCACGCATGGCAGGCTCTTCAGACGGCAGCGCGTGTTTTTTTAGAATTCTCAAAAAACAGGCGCGCACGCATGGCAGGCTCTTCAGACGGCAGCGCGTGTTTTTTTAGAATTCTCAAAAAACAGGCGCGCACGCATGGCAGGCTCTTCAGACGGCAGCGTGAAATGAGTCGAGTTTCGAGTCGACTCAAAACTCGACTCATTTCATGGAACGAGCGCTTCAGGCACGCATGGCAGGCTCTTCAGACGGCAGCGCGTGTTTTTTTAGAATTCTCAAAAAACAGGCGCGCACGCATGGCAGGCTCTTCAGACGGCAGCGTGAAATGAGTCGAGTTTTGAGTCGACTCAAAACTCGACTCATTTCATGGAACGAGCGCTTCAGGCACGCATGGCAGGCTCTT